TCTCTCTCTCTCTCTCTCTCTCTCTCTCTCTCTCATATATACATTCTCAAGCTGTTTCTGGAAGCCTCGACTGGTATTCCCCGAGTTACATGCTGCCCCAGGGTCAAAGCAGCCTCGCCCATCTACACTTCTTGGTGAGTCCCTCAAGACTTCATATGTTGCATTGTTTACTGTCTTCCAGCATCAGCTCTTATAAAAACTCTACACCTCCAAGTCATGTAGAGCCAGGCAGAAATCTCATCCCTCTAGGCTTGGATTGTGTTTCTCTCCCTACCCAAAACAAATGCTAGAAAGCTCCCCCACGTGCACACATGCCATGCCAGCTCGTGCATGAACACACTCATACACTCTCGTGTACACACAACTGAGTACAGTTATGAGGCTAGCACCTCATTTTCCAAATGTGTGCCTAGATGTCCTACTGTCCTCCTTGATCCCCGTGTCACGAGGCCACGGAGCCCTCTCAGAAGCTGATAGATGGAGCTCAAGAGACAGTTCAGTTGGTTAAACGCTAGCTGTGCAAGTGTGGGGACTTGAGTTTGGATTCCCCAGCACCCACCTAAATGCCAGGAGTAACGAAACGTGTGTAACCCCAGAGCTGGGGAAGCAAAGATGGGATCCCTGGAGTATGCTGATCAACCTTTCCAGCAAAGCAAGGGAGTTCCATATTCAGTGGTGAGAGACCCTGTCTTAAAAAAAGAAAACGGAGAATAACTGAGGAAAAGACCAGCACTGACCTCTGACTCCACCCCTGCCTGCACATGCACACACACATACTCATCCACACAAAGACTGACACACTACTCTGAGTGTATCCCTCTCAGAGTCCTCACTGTGCTTTGTAACTACCAGTATATTTGTCTAAATTCTCAAACACCCTGAGGGGAAGGCTGCATTTTATATACAAGTCTTCCAGAACAATGGCTTATATTCCCCACAATATAAGTTCAGTAAGTATTTGTTGAATAAATGATCAGATGGAGTTTACACAATCCCAGACCATTGGTTGTTGGCTTGATTTATGAATTCTGACAAGATCTACAAGGAACAATTAAACCACTTCTGGCCTCACCAAGACCACTGATGGTATCCAAGCTGCATGGCTGAGAGGAATCACTTCAGATTGTCCCCAGCTCCTTATCTGTGAGAACTCATGCTACAAGCATGTTGACAGGAAGCCTGGCACTGTCTACTAGCTAAGAGCCAGCAAGCCTCAGGGGAAGAACTGGGAGGCAGCACTTGCTCGACATGCATTACAAGGTAAGCTGGCCCTGATGACTCACTCGGTTAGGCTCCCTTAACCTAAGTTCCTGAAGCACATTGTCAACCAGGATTATAGTCATGGCTTCTATCAAAGTACCATTCCTGAACTCTTTCTTAGTTAGTGTCCCCAAAGAGTTTGTTCTTTTGGGACCTTCGTCAGTTAAATCAAGTACATGACATACCCTGAGCTGTTGCAAGCAATCGCTGATTCTATGTCGGAAGGCATTCCCACATGCAGCCTGATGCATACACGATATGAGAAATGCAGGTTATGCACATCATCACCATTACCACTATCAGTCACGTGGACAAACACAAGGGCCTCTAAAAGCAAGCTGCGGCTCACTGGTCAAGATGAGGTGAGGGGTGTCGCTGGGGCAATGCCTCTAAAACCCAGCAGAAGCATTTGATAGAAAGAAACAGCGCTCAACCCCACGAGGCAGTGGTCTAAGAGTTACAGACTGGTCTGGAAAGGACCCCCAGGGAAACCTTACCTGAACATAAATACCAGTACCTCTAGGAGAGTACACTACTCCAAACAGAAACTAGACTAAATGTAAATTAATAGGGAAAGCAATAATAAGAAAGTATAAGAGAAATAGAAAAGCTACATGTATGCTTACTGTTGTAGGGTTTTTAGATTTTTGTTGGTTTGGGTTGTTTTTTTTTTTTTTTAATCTCTTCACTTATGCCAAAAACTCCATGCACCAAAATACACAGACACCAAGACAAACAAGTCTTTGGCTACATGTCTGTTATTAATCATTATTCACCTTAATAACAGGGTATGTGGCCATTCAGTAGCCTGTTAGTAACTCTACTGAGCAGTATAAGCACTTTAAATACAAACATTTCAATACTACATGCTAAAGTACCTTAAGGAACATACAGAGTGCTATTGCACATAAAACGCTGTAGCCATGGAGGAGTCGGGCTCTTTTTCTTCCTGGCCTAAACACACACACCATCTGCAACATACATTCATTAAGTCCACACCAATTGCTAGAGAGAGTGTCGTGCAAATACTTTGTTAGTCCTCACAACTACTCTTTAATTTGAAATACATGGTAACCCACCCAATCACTACTAGACTAAAACCACATGTTGTGTTTCAAATTAACTAAGGTTTCTAGTCCCTCACAAATTTTAGATACATGTTTGTCATTCTTGTTGGAGTCGGGGCTCACTGGTGGAGCGGTTGCCTAGCATGCTTCTCTAAGGCCACGGTTTCAATCCCCAGCGTTAAGGGGGAATGGATTATGAATTATTCCCTGTACTGATTTCACTCTTCATTTTCTTATTTGTATTTACTGACTCCTCCTTTTACTGGTTATTACAGTGTCTCTCTTTTAACCATTTTCCTTCTAAGCACAGCTTTTCTTCCAGTACTTCTAACACCAGCAGTGGTTCTGGTTCAGACTTGTCCTCCATGGTCTGTAGAATCCACTCCACCCTCTAAACCAGGACAGAGCCACATGTATGCAGAAGACAGATTCGTCACCTTGCTCCTGTCCCCCTCCATCACCTGCCTCACCATCTCCCTTTTGAGCTGATCTTTCTGCTGTACCTTCTCCTCTGCTTCATGTTCCGAGGTGTCACACATTTGTATTTAGCACTTATACACACAGACACAAGTACACACCCAACCCCTTACCAAGCATGAGACTGTGAACTTTGACTTTGATGTTAAATTACATATATTTTCTATAGAATTCGCAGGCAGTGAACAGACATGAGGGAGATAAAACGTTCCCATTTTTAAAAGATTCCAAAATGACAATCCTACCTTTCTCGGGATTTGAAGAAAAGGGGTCTCCAAATTCTTGATGTTTGGGTTTTACAGTAAGTGATGGTGCCATGCCCCCCGTCTGAGTGGCCTGAAACTGAGGCTTGCCATTGGTGAGTAACTGTCTCCTGGGGCTCAGGGCAGGCAGATGGATGGGGCTCACGGCCATGTTGCTCTGAGGAGCCATCCCTGCTCCGGAGGACATCTTGAGATGGAGGTTGTTAGCTAGATTTCCAAAAGTGGGGCTGGGTGTGCTGGCACAGGACGAGGGGCCCGGAGGGCCTGAGTGGGCTCTGATGGGAGGAATATGTTGACCACTGAGCAACCCAGGCCCCTGTGGGGTTCTTGCTGTCCGATGGAGACTCATGCCACATGACCTTCCATTCATTGTGAAAGCCCTAAGGCCAAGACGGTCAAGATCCAATGGCACGACTGATTCTTTCAGGGCAACTCAAGTAATTTATCCATGGGATAGGAGATAAGTCTGTTTAAAACAAAAGCAAACACAGGTGTTGGGAAAGGTAAAGCTGAAAATAAGACACAGCAATTTTTCAACTTGTACAGCATTCACACACCACCACCACCACCACCACAACAACAACAACAACAAAAACAACAACAAAAAAAAAATCACTTGGCAAACCGGCCCCTTATGTAGAATAAGATCATAAAACACACAGCTCCTTGGCAAGGACTCTCCACTTCTGCTTTCATAGGAAGCATGTATTATGGGTCAGTGCATTGTTCTGTTTGTCACTGTGCCCTTCTCAATATGGAACTCAGCAGCTACCACCAGTCTACTGAAGACGGCTTACAAAATGTAACTTACTCTACTCCCAAAGGATTGGCCCATACACTGCATTTTCCCTACAGTGTGTCTTTGGAAAGCCAGAACACCAGCCTCTGGGAGCTGCGACACTAAACTTCCGAAGTTCCCAGTCAACAAATACAAAGCTAACATGATGTTCAATCTGAGGAGTATTTTCATAGTGCCCAGATTTGCAGAAAATCAGAACTCTAGGGATGAGACTATTAGTTTTCATAGATCCTTACATTTAAATACTTACAACAGCGTCAAGACCTTAGATTCATATTGATTCTGAGTTATGGATCTAGAAATAGACTCAATGCCACAATACTCCACCTTCCGTTGAGAGGTTCTGGGAGAGGAGAGAGCTATAAACAATACCTCCTGGAAAACACAGGAGAAGAGGAGCTCTTAAAGGTGGGTGCCAGTATATTCACAGAAAGCCCTACTCTATTACTGTATATACCATACTGTCAGGAAGCCTCCGACGGGACCAGAAAAAAAATTACCAATGTGTCCACCAAATGCCATTTTCTACTTGTATGTGATGACATCAACACTCCTTAGGTCTAAAACTAAGGAAGGCTCTTCCCCCCACTAACAACTCACTCCCCAGAGAAGGTCTAAGGAGGTGGCCAAGTGACACCATAGTGCCTCTACTGAAAATGTCTGCAACAGCCACAATGTGTCTTGTAGACAGACAAGATAGTCATAGGAAGCAGCCACGGCTGAATAAACACAGGAAATGAAGACTGAGAACAAGTCAATAATATCCATATGTCCTCAATAGGATAAGTCTTGGGATTTCTTTTTCCCTGGAGGATCCATTTGAGGTCTTGAACAAATATTTTCAACTCAACTCCAAAGGACACAAAAGGAATGACTGCACCAATCATCATGGGAAGGCTACCAAGGAATGAAAACTGTTTCAAGGACATTGTTTCCTTTCACCATTTTAGGAAACAAAAAATACTTAAATGTTCACTGTGCTTTCCATAAAATTACCATGCATGCCTATGTTGAGGTGCTCTGAATGTAATTCAAATGTAAAATTCAGAATGTACTCTTTATTCCTCTGCTTTGCCAAGAATCCCATCCTTTGATGACATCTAGCTGCCAATCTTAATGGACAAGAACTCTCTCTGTCATACAGCTACCACTCCTACTCTCCTGCCACCACAGGTCCCATGGAAAGACGAGTCTAAGTTATCCAAACCTGCATCACTGAAGTTCCTTTACGGAACAGTAAGACTAGAGCTTGCTACAAAGTGGTCCCGAGTCTGTTCTTCTTTGACTGTGGAAAACGCCCCACACCCTGTCTGTTATGTGCACATCTGCTGTATTACCAACCACTCTCTTCATCTTGACTGGCTGATCTTGAGCAAGAATCAGAATCATGATCCAGTCTCCACTCATTCATAAAATAGTGGTTTCTGAGCACTCTGAACTTTCCAAGGAAGCATTTATTCACTATCCATCAAAAGGGGGAAAAAAAGCAAATAAATATGCCATGTTGGCAAATTTTTGAAAATGAAGAACAGTCCAAAATGACTGTAGTCAGTTAAACCATATCCAAGTGGCAAGAGTCTGCAGATTTGTTGACTGTGATCATTTCTGGTTTTTTTTTTAAAGGAGCCATTTTTGCACCAGCATCATATATAAGTAGTTCTCATCAAAATCTGTATCAAAACCACATCACCAAGTATTCCAGCATTAGGTCCACAAGAAAGGAATGAGAAGAACCAGAACTAGAATTAAGCATCATGTACTCATACTGACATTTCATACAGGAATATTTATTTTGCTTTTTTTTTTTATAAACTGCACTCCTGTTTGAAACAGGTTTTAAAAAGGCAACAAAATATGCTTAAATTTTATAACTGAAAAAAAATCAGAAAAATGAAGTGATTAATACAGAAAAAAATAGATGAATAGCATGTAAGTTAAGCAAAACCACCCATGAGATGAAAAAAAGAAAAAGAAAAGATAGAAACTACATGAGGGAAAAAAGACATAAGATGTAAAGAAAGAAACTGTATATGGAAATATGCCTAAAATTAAAGTTTTCACATGAATTATGTCAACAAATCTTTCAAGCATTTGATACTAGTACCTAGAAATCACTTTAGTTTTCTCACAGTGTAACATTTTTATATACTTCTGAGCTAAGCCACTGATCAAATACCATTTCAAGTCCACTGGGTAATAAAGCAAGGAGTGAAGAAGCACGTGGTTTTAGGAAAGACATGTGTTCAAGCATCAGTGGGAAGTATTGGAGAAGCCAAGGAGCCGAGACCTAAGTCACCAGCTCCCTGGACTCAGTTCTCCATCCATAAACGCCTGGGGAAAACAAATGAATTCACCAGAGTCTCTTGAAATTCGGGTTTTTCTAATACTCTAGATAAGGAGTACTATTTTTAAAACACTCACGTACTATAACAACAAATTGAGATGCAGCATCTATTTCTTTATCAATTAAAGCTAGAGGAATTGCGTGGACAGAGAAGGAAAAACAGTGGCACTCTCTACCAACTCAATTAAACAATGGTGGGCAGGCGGGCGGGCAGGGCCTCCCTCCCCCTCCCCTCTCCCTCCCCAACACCATGCCCAAAGACAGCACTAACCAACAATGAAATACAGCACTAAATCATATTCTGCTAAGAAAAAAAAAATCACAGCTAGTAGTATCCTAAACTTAACCAGGAAAACTCCACTGAAAGAACCTCTTTTTAACAAAGATGTATCTACTTATATTTTATATGTCTTAGTGTTGTATTTGCACTGGTGCCCACAGATCCCAGAAGAGGATGTCAAGTCCACTGAAACTGGAGACACAGGTAGTTGGGAGCTGCCATGTGGGTGCTGGGAACTGAACCTGGGTCCTCTACAAGAGTAGTCATTGCTTTTAACCAGTGAGCCATCTCTCCGGCCCCCTCTTTTTATTTAAAAACTCTCACCAGTTTCTCCTCTGTCTTATGTCCAACCCCTCTACTCAAGACTACCAACAAAAAAAGAAAAATGAACAAAGAATTTTTAAAGGAAAAAGCAAAGAGAATCCAAAAATATAAATCTCAGGTTTTTCCCATGTGACACTTTGCCATATTTAGATTTTTATACCCCATTGGGTCTCACAATGAAAATGTTCACTCTGCTAATGAGTTACTAAATCTTTCCTTTTGAGAACTTTCAACCTCTTAAAACACACTCTTATAATTCAGGTTAGAGAGGAAGTGACCTAACCCCTAAGGAAACCAAGGTAGAAAACCATTTAATAATGCCACTCCTTTTCTGGAAAAGCACTAACTTTGATCAAAACATAAAATCATGACTCTACCTTCTTCCCAGGGCTACAGGCACTGCTCCTTATGGATTAAGAGAGATTAAACAAATGAAAGCAATGTTAACTCATCCAGTTAAGAAAATTCCAGAAACAAGTTCCACAGTGCCTATTTAGAGCCAAAGGCCCTTTCTTAGTAAATACCATTAATAGACTCATCTAGAGTCATAATTCATCTGATGAGCCAGTTAATTATTAATTTTCATACATCATTTCATTTCCTTAGGCTACATTTAGCCTCTGTTACATTTTCCATTCCTTATGCTGAGAGCATTTCTTACCCTGCACCCCCCCCAAAAAAATCTGTTAATGAAGCACAAATAATGGGCAGGAAGCAAACTGATCCTGAATATGATCATATTTATGTATATGCATATAAGTAAATGTGTGCACGATTTACGGTGTGTGTGTGTGTGTGTGCATGTGTATATTCGTGTGCATGCGTGCGTGTGTGGCAACTATGACATGTTACCCTTTTCATTTTCCCCATTTGGGTTAATGATTGTATAGTTTCATTAAGCTCTGTCATTTCAACTCCACGGCCCTCATCGTTTAACAGGCCCGTGCTATTCTCCTGGGCTTCTCCTGTTACGGCTTTCTGTAGCCAGAAGAATATAGAAATGAAAAACCTACTGATGGATAATATAAGGTATTCTCATGCACGGCCACAGTGTGAAGCAGATTTTGCAATTTAATCAAGGACAGATAGAGCTGAATGTTCTTATATCCCAAGAGTTCATTTTAATAAGCAGAATGTACCTTGTTCTAACACAGGTGACTGACTCCTCAGTAAAGATTGTATAAACAAAAACCAATCATGTAAGTCATTTTATTGGCAACAATATAAACACAGCTATATTAGATGTCACCAATAAATCAGAGTGATTCTTGTCTGCAATTTCAACAAGAGGGAAGTGCAAACATGAGTCCATGAAGCTGGAGGATATGATGGAGGAAATACATAGAATGTGGACACTATCATTTCTCTAGACCCAAACTGGAAGGTCCTCCATTAGAATGAATGGATCCACAACAAAACAGAGTTCTTTGTATGGGTGCATAACTATATGCACTGAAACCAACAAAGCCACAAAAGGTTCACGAAAAGAAACTCATACTTGAGCTCTAGAGCAGAAACTCAAAGAAGTTTAAAGAAGATCTTTTCACGCAAGTATTCTCAAGTCCTAATGAAGACCGTAAGCACATGACCACATTTACTCTGAACATCAGTGTGTACCGATGTCTAACAACACATTCACTGGTAAGATGAAATCAGAGATTTCACTTTAGCACTAATTAATAAGACAATTGAGTGTCCCCAGCAGGCATTCCACTCAAG